TCGTATAATTTTTTATGGTTCGTTATCGGAGATTGTCATATTATAATGAAAAATATAACTAAATATTTAATTATTTTGCCAGAATGAACTATTGAAAACAAAAAACACTCGGAGAACTACACCTCACTTAACCTTAACTGGATTCCACTTGAACCTAACCTAACCAATACCCTACTCATCCTCAACAATTGCTCAAAATCAGTTGCTGAGCTTAATCCAACTCAAACCTAACATAATATAACTTAAACCCTAGTCATCCATCTAACTTTTCAAATTTTCTTCATCGAGTAGTATCTTGCTATCAAATGGAGAACTAAAAATAGGAATTTCATTCAGTTTGGTTGTGCTTTCGTTGGATACCAGGGTGGATCGAAAGACCCTGGTGTGAACAACTGAATCCACTTCTTATGAAAGAAGAGATAATAATCAATCATATTGGATTCCTAGCCTTATTACTCATATTGCTAACATCTTGATAAAACTGGAGGTAATTTTTGTACAAATTAACTGAAAAAACAATTTGTTCAGGCCTACACTGTAGGTAAGTCGGGACTGGCCTGACTACTCTCCTGGGTGATACCACGAAGGGCGTTGGATTATACCCAACAAGTATCAGTGCGGAAATCTTTACAGAAGTGAATTGATGGATGTAGATGTTACTACGTGGTAGGAAATCATAATGAAGAAAAGATAAATTAAACTTTCTATGTTTTCAAGTGGTAAAAAACATAAAAAGTTTAANTGAAGAAGAAATCAAATGACTGAAAACTATTATTGAACAAAATACCATGAATACCTACGAGGAAAAAAACATGTACTTTCTAGTCGAAGAAAATAAGAAGTTACACGAAAATGATCTCTCAATAGTATCGAATATAGTAGATAAGGAGTCGATAAGAGACACTTTAGAAAATAGTGGAAAAAATTTAAAAAATTAGAATCAACTTTCAAATACAACTTCGAAAGTTCAAATAGCTATGTAGACAAAATGAAGAATAAAACGTATATACTACCTAAATTGAAAAAAAATGAAACATTGGTAATCAAACCAAAATCCATCCAATACTTAAATAAAACTACAGGTGATCTGTGAAAAAATATTGATGTGACTCAGCTGAATATGAGCATAACTTTTTTGAATAAAAAAACAGATATGCATTGAAATTCAATACAAAAATGAAAGACAAAACTTCAAAAACTGAATGAAATTATTAACGACTAATTATCCCCAAAATATGAGACTACGGTAAAAACTTTGAATAGACCAATAATCAAAATTTCCGATTTGAAACTGGATAATTAACCGAGTAAAGAATAAAAGACACAATGATATAAATGAAAATGATGATTTTAAAAAGAATGATTGCTATACTGTATTTGCAGAAACGCACTGCCTAAAATCGTTCATATCAATAATAAACTGAAGACTGGCCAGCAGAATCCATCTGTTCATGAAAACAGTTTCCCTCATAAATGTAAAAAATGTTTTTGATTCAACTAGAACAAATGTGGGAATGAAATAAAATGTACAGGAAATTATAAAGTTGAAATATGTAGAAATGATAATAAAGCAAAATGTAGTAATTGTATTCACACTAATATCACACTTCAGAAAAATTATAAAACCTTATATTTAGGAACAGGCAAAAATTGTCCTATATTACACTTTCATCATAATGGATAAATATCAGAGATAAACAGTTGCTAGTAATCATGAAAATGTAAAAATATTGGAACTACCTTCTTTGGATGAATACAAGTGTGGATGAGCAGGACATCTGACAATGATATACTTCAATTGAACTTCGACGAAGATCAAAATCAGCAACCAGTAAATCTAACCAGCAAATCTTAATAAACGTAATATTTCACAAATTGAGTTGCCATACTTGTAGACTGGCTGTAAATCAAATTATCTAAAATAACAATTCGTTTAGACCAGTCTCAAATCACCTACACTGTAGGTTAATGGACTGACACCTATCAGAAAACAAGTACTCCTCTGGCTAATACCATGAAGGGCGTTGGAATATATCCAACAGGTGTCAGTGCAGGATTCTTCTCTGAAGTTTTTCCTGCATATGATGTTGGCGATACAACTTCCGTAATCAGTTTTCAATAACTGGGCCACACTTGCAGACCGGTTTCGGGCTCTTAGGCCACTGGTCAGTGCAAGGTAGTGTCTATCAACAATATGAAGTCGATGATTTCACATAATTGCAAATCGAATTCCTTTCAGAGTATCATTCCTTGAACTAGGCAGAAGCGAACGACAAACAACGTGCTTGTCATCGATACTGACATCGTTTTGACAAAAAAGAAAAAAACATTTCACTCTTGATGGTTTTGATTCTGCCATTCTGAGTAGGAATAAACGTGTAGGAGGAATTGCAAATTATTTTTATGCCAAATTTGTCGACCACCTTCCAAATCAAAGTAATGATTTTTTTTCAATTCAATGTATAAACGAATGATACTCATTGATTGCTACACTTCTGAATATTTGTTTTTCAAATGAACTTGAAGAATTTATTGAGCAATGAAAATTATACAAAAAGTTTGTCAAATATTTATAATTCGAACAAATTTTTAAATATGTAATGAAACTGTTCCTAGGTTCAAGAGGGTTGAAGAATAGTTCTACTTTGATTTATCATATTTCAAGCACAGCCCAACAACCAAATTAACCTTATTTTCATAATCAATAGTCCAATCAGTGATAGTGTGTGAAAAAGGAAAGATCTTTATTTTGAAGATATTTTGTGGAGTTCAGCAATAATCTATTCTTGGCCTTATTCTGTTTCTCATCTAGATTTATTCAAGGACACAATTATGAGTGGGTAGGATACTTGTCATTTAGTTATTCACATATGCCACAAACCTCATTTATTAACAATAAAAAAAATAAAATTGGTTAAAACAACATGATATAAATATGCAATTCATTAATAATTTCAGGAACAAAAACAATCGACATATTCAGTTTCATTTCAAAAAACATCTAAGGCATATTCATGATGTAACATATTCTACCGAGTATTTGAAACATGGGAAAATTCCATATGTGATATTCCAAAATGAACTTCATCAAGAATTTATGAGAATTTTCTTATGATCATCTCATTACTAACGCAAGCTTTTAGTGCTATATCGCTTCATTCACGAATGTCTTAAAAACAATCTTATTTATTGTCGGATCTCAAATGCCATTTGTTCAACTTCTATGGTTTGCACAGCTTGAGAATCATCTCTTCTGAATCTCTCTTCATCGCTCCCACCGACCTTCAACGCATTCACTTTCAGTATCAAAAACTAGTACGATATCAATGACATCAGTATTGTATTGTGTGGGATCACTAAAAAGTAGAGTACAATTTTTTCATTTAATGCATCAGTAAAGGTAGCTTACTGTGGAAATAGTTCTCTTAAAGAATGAATTATGGTGAAATCATCCAAAAATATGTTGAGATCTATTATATTAATAATAAAATCCAAGATATTCAATAACATTTTCAGAAAATTTTGAAAAGCTATTGCTTAGTTCATAACTAACTGTGTCCAGAAAGATTTGACAGGTGTAAGAGACAACTGTTGGTGTTGGTTGAGTATAATTATGATATTATATTCAAGATTGAACTAAAATTCAAATTAGGACAGAATGAAAGTGAATGCGGAGATAGTATTGATGCTGGTCAGACAAACCTATGAATTAAAACCTTGTTCTTCTTTAATTTGATCGTTAAATGAAACAGAAGGCTTTGGTAGAAAATATGCAGGGTATAGTCTTGTTTTATTGCAAATAATTGAAGATAAGAAAACAACATCAAGAAGAGAGCGAACAGATTCTTAAATCTAACATTTTTTTTGTGTGAACGGCTTTGACTGCTTTGATTGCCACTCGCGTGTTTTAGCTAGTCAAGGAAATTATAACCGATAAAGATATTTATATTTACGAGGAAATCATAAACACGTATTTTGGAGAATGAGCTGCTTGTTTTGGTTCACATTATCGATGTTTTGGCGAAGGCATAGAAATATAAACCAGTTTTCAAATTGTGTAGCTCATTGAATTTGTAATATCATTTGGAAAAATGAAAGTTTGGAAGTTTCAAATTCATACATAGAGAATTTTGTTAGCTACAAACAATTAAATATTCCAACATTTTTTCAAACTGCTGAAAAATATTTACTATAATGAAATTTTAATAGAAAATTTTTGTAAGATCCATTTCTACTGTGGAATATTTTTATCAAATTCTGAAAATGAATGAAAGTTTCTTAACGTTGTTTCATATCAATAAACTAAAGGACCCGGCGAACGTCGTTCCGCCTTAAAGTCAATGAATGAACAGATATAGGAATTTAAAATTAAAACTAATTAATACAGTTTATTGTATGATTTTTAACTATGAAGGGTTTTAGAAAAACCGAGACACGTGTTTCGCTATACAATAGCTTCCTCAAGCATAAACTGAAAGTTACCTCTAAATTACAATCATTTTATACTCTAACATATTATCTACTCGTATGTCTACTTTCTGATGAATGGATCTTCCTGCAAAGGTCAGATATGAATTCATTAACTAGATGAATAAATTTTTCGAAAGTAACTTAAATTTACTTGATTATTTTCACCTGGAAGTGAACAGATTCAATGATGGCGTATTATTCAGTTGGATCGTTCATAAGATATTGAGAGTTGATGAATTTGTTTATTTCCATACTCTCCAATAGTTTAAGTTTCAAATCTTTCTTCTGGAAAGAGAGTGGCTTGTATTCATGGTTGAACTCACGTCCCTCTGTGATTGAATGAGTGGCATCTGTGGAATTTATTTTTCCATTCTGAAAATTATTTTTGTGTTCCTTTATGCTGGCTTTGAACGTTCTTCCAGTTTGGCCTATATGAAACTAATCAATGACATTATTATTGACTGAAGGTTGATTCAAAGAAATATACAACTGAGATTAATTCATTCGAGATGAAAAAATTGATAACTCACCGTGTACTAGACTGATTCCAAAGAGTATGCACACTATGCTGTCCCCAAAGGGTAGCCCACGTACTTTGACCATTATTCGTTAATGTTGGCTTGAAAAAAGGGTGGACTGCCACCCTTTCCTTTCAGTATCTTCTTTTATAACCAGGCATTTTGCCAGAAGTGCAGATACAAACTGCAAAAAAATGTGCTGAAAATAAAAAATGGTCAGTTTTGAATATTTATTTATATGAAACATAAAATTTATGAAATTTCAATCTATGAAGTTTTTTAATGTATGGTTGATACAGATTAGATGTTATGTTGTTCAGTACAAGTTCATGTTGAGCAGCTTGAGAACCAATGTATGTACTTCTCCAAAGCTGCATCGTAAACATAAATTAATCTGTTTAAAAAATCTCTTTCTGATGTTCAGATGTTTACTGAGTTGAACAATATTTTCCAACGAATTTTTCAATACTTTTTATGTACATGATGCACGTAATACCTTCTAATTTCTGTTACTTGATAGACCAACAGGAAATTTGAACTCCTTATTACTGGTAAATCTTGATGAGTCATCTTGAAATTAGATTTCGATAATTCTAATCGAATAATCGAGTGAGCCTATCAAAATATTCTGCAATCACAGTTACAAAGGTAACAACGTCCTGTTTTTATTTCAATCCGTGGTTTGAATGTGTGAAGTATTTTCTAATAAATTTCATAATAATTAAGGAATACAGGGTGTGGACACCTACACCAATAACTATTTTGGAATATGTCCTGTGTGGTTGCCAAAATCATAACTCTATCCAACTCACATTATCAATAATTCATTTTCGATGGGTTTTTCATCAATTAATCATCAGGATTGTTTGTGTTTTGTTTGAACAAATGGCTCGAAAAGTGAAGAACCTATAATTGACGAACGTATTCGGCAGAAGAGGTGCAGTCCATATTTTTCACAATATGTAATGTTTGGTAGAAACATCCAGAATGTTTATAGAATACACATTAATGTACACAATATGATCACTTGAACATTGAAAGTCATAGTGAATGGCATGCCACCCCAGCTAAAAAAATTATATGAATCCCACATACCGTTTAGGGTGGGTCTTTTTTAAGCAGTGTTACAGTCCAACGGGTCCGAAGTTTCCTACGGTTTGGTTGTTGAGAAAAATCCTATCATCCACACGTACGATTCAATTCATTGTTTAAATATCAATAATAACGGAAATGGAACTTGAAATAATAGTTCTCGATTGACTATTGATTTTCTTGCACTGGATGTATGGCGGTGGACCGCACGCACCTCAGTGAAGGACAAGGAAAACTGAGAGGAAAATAGGGTATCCTCTCTGGCTGATCCTCTCTGGCATTTTCTCGACGCTTTCGACGCGCGTGCGGGAAATTCACACCTACACAAGTCGGAAAAGTTTTGCTTCTTTTGTGTTTTTTGTACAATTTCAGTGGTGTTATACCGAGCGTTTGCTGATTTCATTACACTTCAGGTTTCAATAACGATTGGTTGTTTTATTGTATTTTATGGTGAATGTCTTGATTTCACCTATTCCTACACTTTTTTAATAACTTTATATCAATAAAGAACACACTTTCGATCTCAAAAAATTATATCGACATTTTTCATGAGTTTTTATAGGTCCTTCCGAAGAAAGTAACAGATTATGAATCTAAAGCAAATGGAACTTCAAACGTTCAAGTCAGTCTCTATATACCTACACAGTAGGTTTAATAGTAGTTGTTTTCTGATAGGCGTCAGTCCATTAAACCTACTGTGTAGGTATATAGAGACTGACTTGAACGTTTGAAGTTCCATTTGCTTTAGATTTGTTTACTGCCAGTCTTCTAGCATAGCCCACTGACTAATAAGAAAACAGATTATGAATCTGAAATATTCAATTGAGCTGATTTTGGAAAGGATCTAATCATCTAGGCAAGAATAGACAGTGATCAACAACTGTTGTTTATAATTTGGAGTTGGCATAGAACCCAATATTTGAAATTCCTAAATTTCCTAAATTTCTACCTGAATTCGATTAGAACTCCATCACATAAACTCCACCTAAAATGCAATATTTTCCAAGAGATATTAATTTCTTCTGATACGCCTTGAAGTGACAATTCAAAATGAATGAATAAAATGAATGAACAATCGCAGTTCGCATTATTCTGCTACTGATTGAGCAGGGAGTACCTTCCAAATACGCATCAATAGGTATATGTATATCGGATGTCCTAAAACAGTTTCAAATAAAAGTTATATGGCACCAGGAAGAAAATTAGTCTGTGGTTTGCAGGGTGTTGTATTTTTCCGCAAGAGCATACATCATAATTTTTTTCAAGGGAACAATCATTGCACTTTTTCTTTCAGAATTCATTTCCAACTTCAAGACACCGTTGCCTAGTTACTGATTTTTTTTAATTCGGAAGTGAAACCGATTCTGAATTAAATTAATGTATTGAGGCTGTTTCATCAATGATCTGGTGCAGCCAGAGACTATCAAAATAGCATGTAATTATCTGAGAAACATTATTATTTATACAGGTTCCTTGAAATGTTACTATGATTTTCGACAACATCAGTTGTAGTTTATGCAATTTTTTTAGATTGAATACCCTGCCTGATAATTTTCCTATCTATTAATGAAAGCGTGTTTCACGTTATTCCTAGCCGTCCTTTCATTATTTCCGTTTTCAGAATATTTTCAAAAAATTTGATATATCAGTACATTCTGAATTTGAAACAGAAGTAACGACAGTGATAACACTGATTATAATTTTTTTGGATCTGTACATTTCCTGGATCTCTTTAAAAAGTTTGTTTTCACGCGACCCAGATGAGCAGGCATAATTCGTTGAAATGTCTCACGAATTCTCAATTCCGTATCCTTTTGTGTATCAATGTATAACCGTATCAATCTTCGATTTTTTTTCCTCTTATATCAAAATTTATTGGTGTTAGGTCCGGCGACTTTGTCGGCAAGAGAAAAGATCCTTCTTTTTCAATCCTCATATTAAGAAACATTACATACAATTCCTTTTGTTCTTTTCCCGAAAAATGTGCTGGTGCCCCATTTGAATGAAGCCACATTTCATCGTTGATGTGATTAGGCAGGTGAAAGTTAAAAAAATAAGCCCCAACAACATTATCTTCAATAACGCTGGATTTCTGTTGATGATTGTTGAAATGCATTTTTTGTAGATTTGTGATTCTTTCTATAATAGGTAATGGTAGTTGTGTCCATTGACAAATGCATTCCTGTTAAAGATATTTTCGTCGGTAAATGTGAAGCTCCCACGTGGTGAGACTAAAATTTTCATTAATGAAACTTCAAGCAACCTGAAGGCAAATTCTCACCACCAACCAAAAAGAAATCACTCAGTGGCAAAAACACTAATTACACCTCCAAAGAGGCTATCAGAGAATGAACACAGGTAAAAGAGTTGAACACCGTCGACACAACTCTACGAATGAATGACTACTCAGAGGAAATTATAAAAGCAGCTTCCAAGATCATACGAAAACAGTGGAAAACCCAAGATACACCGGTTATAACAACCATATATTGAAGGATTCATAGACTAAATCAGCAGAATTCTCCGCCAACACAACATGGCAACATCATTCGTACCAGAACGTACAATAACGTCCATGCTCCGTAATCCAAAGGATCAGATACCACTGGAGTCCCAAGGAGTTTACGAAGTTACATATCACGACTGTGACAACATTAACATCGGCCAGACCAACAAGCGAATCAACATACGTAAGGATGAACACAAATTAGCAGTGAAAGAAAAAGTCACCATATTTCCTCTTCCAACACGTATAGGCGACGGGGCATAACATCATTTTCCAGAACACAAAAACACTAGCAACAATGAAAACTTCTATACTTTTGAACAATCAGATAGGCTATCGAAATTGAAAAACGACCGTGTAATGTGAACAAGAGGGATGACGCGCAAATATTACCAGCAACATGGAGATCCATCTTATCACTCCACAAAATTAAACAGACCGCACAACCCCAGAAGCAAAACTAAGTACATGATATCAGAGGTATAATGACTTACGCAGGCGAAACATCACAGGTGATCGGGCCAACGCAAGTAATCGGGCTAACATAGGTAGTGAGAGTAACCCGTGAAAATGGGTAGCATCTACCCCTATAAATTAAGAAACAGAGTTTTAGTGAATCAATTTAGTTCTAAACCCCAGGCATTACCAGAAGATGGCAAATGATACTTTGCTGAAACGTTGTGAAAAGAATCCTTGTAAGGATCAAAAACACAGTGATGGCCAATAATCTTTCCAATCCTGACCTACCACTTTGCCTCTGAATATCTGACTGAGACACTTGTTACTTCTACCGTTTCGTGAATCGGTTCCCTGTCAAGCTGATACCACAATTCTACATTCAAAAGCATATTATTCAAAACTTCCGACAACTGGTTCATCATGAACATTCTATACATGGTTGCGTTAAAATTCCCTTTAGAAAAATGTGGTCCAACTGTTTGGTTATGTATAAAGAAGGTGTACGAATTTTGGCTTATAGGAATGGACATTATTTTTGTTCAAAATTATTTCCACATGAGGGATGACGCGCAAATATTACCAGCAACATGGAGATCCATCTTATCACTCCACAAAATTAAACAGACCGCACAACCCCAGAAGCAAAACTAAGCACATGATATCAGAGGTATAATGACAAACGCAGGCGAAACATCACAGGTGATCGGGCCAACGCAAGTAACCGGGCTAACATAGTGAATCAATTTAGTACTAAACCCCAGACATCACCAGAAGATGGCAAATGATACTTTGCTGAAACGTTGTGAAAATAATCCTTGTAAGGATCAAAAACACAGTGATGGCCAATAATCTTTCCAATCCTGACCTACCACTTTGCCTCTGAATATCTGACTGATACACTTTTTTACTTCTACCGTTTCGTGAATCGGTTCCCTGTCAAGGTGATACCACAATTCTACATTCAAAAGCATATTATTCAAAACTTCAGACAACTGGTTCATCATGAACTTTCTACACATGGCTGCGTTAAAATTCCTTTTAGAAAAATGAGAGCCAACTGTTTGGTTATGTATAAAGAGGGTGTACGAATTTTGGCTTATAGGGATGGACATTATTTTTGTTCAAAATTATTTCCACAGGTC